CTGCAAACACGCACAGACGTCTTACGTGATATGAGATTAAGAGGATGACGAGCTGAAAAACGCTGCATGGTTCTCACGAGAACCTGCTCTAGCGAAACCTGCACTTAGCCACCTTAATCTGCCCTACTTTCGAGAAGCCTTGGAAGGCAGCCTTGCATGTTTTCTGATTTCTGTTTGTGTCTTTTATCTTGTGCGACCAGAGAGACCACAGGAGACTCGTCAGAGGAGAAGATTGCGCCGACTGAAGTCACGCATTCAAACAGTTCCTGCTGGCGCAGACGATAACGTGGGCGGTACGCCGCTTTTTGTTGTTGTTGTTGTTTGTACCGCCTCCAAAAGACACCTTTCAAGCAAAGTTTGTCAAACTACATCAGTGGAGGATTGAAAAACTCTTTTTCCTACAGTTGTCGATGCGCGCGACAACTGCTCATCTCCTCAGTCACACTCGCAGAGATGCCGCAACTTTCTTAGGGGGAGAGACGGAATGGGTTGGGGTGGAGGAGAGATGAAGGCAGTTTGATGGAGGAAGGAAAGATGAGAGCGAGAAAAAGAGCAGCTGTTCTCTTTTTTCCTCAACCCTCAGTGCTTTCACGCATTTCCTCAGGGAGCACATTTGCAAAACGCGCACACTTTTAGCTCTGCGCTTCTAACTCCAATCGGCTTTAAGAAAAAAAAATCCTTAGGTCTATGTTTGGATAAACGCTATATGGTTAAAATAAATAAATAAACCAATAAAAATAGGTATCTGATTGGGTTTACCCATTTGCTAGTCATAATGCGACATCTCTGCTGTGTCGAAAAACAGAAATAAACAGTTGAATAGCGCATTTGATGTGTCTTGGCAGTTACACGAGCGATGTGCAAACTGAACATGATGCACAATGAATCTTATCAAATGCACGCAGCATTCCTTATGCACCTTAATGCTAGTACTATTAAAACACTTCTCGACATGCCACGGCTGCCATGATCTAATTTCTACAAGCTGAACAGTTAAACTGCAATTTAGGGCAAGTACAAGCAGCTTCCTCATCAAAGACAATGCATCTGTTCTTAAGCAATACCGCAAAGTCATCTCTGAGGTCAGTGTGATTTTTAGTTTAAAAAAAAAAAAAAAAAAACATACAAACACGCGTGCGCGCGCACACACACACAGTCTTCCCTTAAACATTCCAAAGTGCCTTAAACCATGCATGCTGGTGCTCATGACTTTCCACAGCCACCTCAGGGCTTTAATGAGACTCGTTACAGACTTTTTTTTTTCTGCGCCAAAAACCTTTGACTTCGGGTATTTTTATTTTATTTTTTTTTTTACATTTGTGCAAATCTCTGCCATTCATGACAGGCTTGAGAAAAAGAACTATCATTACATTCCCCTTACACACCACTGTGAACACCAGGCAGTTCGTGTAATACGTCTATGAACAGCTGAAAAACCTGATTTCCTGAACAGACAGGAAATCATAGCGAGAAATAAACAGTATTAGCTGCATGAGAATGAAGCGACATAATAAAGAGAATGAAACACCATAAAACTTGAATCATCCAAAAACATACTTTAAACCTTTGGATTCTTGTCGTAACAGCTCCTACATAGGGACAGGGTAGATGCTCAACGTAATCTAAGTTTAATAAAAAAAAATGGATTAAACAAACAAACAAAAAAAACAGTTTAACAAAGAAGAACATATAATTGTTGATATGGTAATGCTTTCTTTCAGGAGATGTTTATGTAACATTTATGGAAAGAGTCTCAAGTGTCAGCGCTTTGTAACAGTTTTCTCTCTAGCAAGCTGCATATTTTTCTGTCTTTTTAACTTGAAGAGAGGCTTTTGATGGAATGACTGCTCATAGCTGCTATAGAGTAAGTGATAACAGGAACTAAATTATCTCACGGATGTTCCACAACATTAAATGTGACTATAAACGGTTAAAAACTAGTGTATGAGGGGGAAAAAAAAAACTTCAGGCTGCGCTGTTATTTAAAAAAAAAGAATATCACTTTGGCATCAGGCTTCATCACACCTTCCTGACATTGATTGTTATAAAATACCTACATGCAAGCACAAAATTGTACCCCCTATCCTTCTCTAATTCCATGGCAGGCTTGCTGGCATGGGTACCCTAAAGATTTGCACTTACCAAAGCTTCATCTCAATATAAGTGGAGAATTTCACCTGGATACTATAGATATGTTCTTCAGAACTGCTGTTGTAATCATAGAGACTGTCCTGTGCTCATTTAATGACTCTTATTTACAACATGCTCATACTGAACATTTTTCAACACAACACATTTTTCTAGCCCGCAACTGGCTAGTGTCGCTCTGATAGACAGGGGAGGGAGAGCATGCCGTCTCTCCCAGCCAGAGAGCATGGACAATCTTTGCTCCCGGCCACGGATGGCTGTGCATCATCGTTATTTGAACTCGTGATTTCCAGACAACAGGGACGACGCTTTTTTTGTTACGCCCCTCGGGAGCCCACAATATATAATCTCAGTATCCCTAGAAGAGGATGGGTTCCCTTATGAGTCTGTTTCCTCTTAGGCCACGGTAGCTTCTCACTTGTTCATTACTTGTTAACAACAAGGTTTCAAAAAAATTTCTAGTCAGAAGCTCATAAACATTGTCATGCAGCTCACTGGCAAGTCAAATAGTGGGACGGAGAATCCACCCTAAGGGATCCATGGAAACACCGAAATCACAGATGGCCAGGTTTCATATCACCAAATTAGCAACCACTATTCACGCTTTTACATCTGCTATATTATGTTCAGGCATTTTTGTATTTTTCCTAACCGTCTATGAAACACATCCTAAGTGATCTTTAGTCTGAAAATAATGTCTCTGTCCTTTGCTTCACACCACGGTATTTATAAACAGACCTCTGGTGTTCATTAATATTTATTATACCACAGTTCAGCTGAATTCGCCAATCTGATTGGTAAGAAGGTGATTAATTTTATATAACAGTATGGATCTGACAGTAGTTTGGCTGCAAGTTGCCTTGTTTATATTAATGTGCTCGAGGAGGCGATTAGCACTTTCGGAAGGAGTCTCCAGTATCAGCGCTTTGTAGCATTCAGCAGTAAAGCTGTTCCGACACAGGAAAGTCTTCAGGACGAAGGGCTTTGTCTTTGTTGTATAACATGAGAAGCTGCATTTTTTTTTTGTCAGACAGATAACATTTATAGCTGCTATAACATAAGTGAATACAGGAACTAATTTGTTTACATTACATGTAACTATAAATGGATGAAATGTATGAAGTGTTGTCATTTAAAAATTTGGGAGGTACTGTTACAGGAAAATAATCAACTTACACTATATTACCAAAAGTATTCGGTCACCCATCCAAATGATCAGAATCAGGTGTCCTAATCACTTGGCCTGGCCACAGGTGTATAAAATCAAGCACTTAGGCATGCAGACTGTTTTTAGAAACATTTGTGAAAGAATGGGCCGCTCTCAGGAGCTCAAAGAATTCCAGCGTGGACTGTCATAGGATGCCACCTGTGCAACAAATCCAGTCGTGAAATTTCCTCGCTCCTAAATATTCCACAGTCAACTGTCAGCTTTATCATAACAAAATGGAAGAGTTTGGGAACAACAGCAACTCAGCCACGAAGTGGTAGGCCACGTAAACTGACGGAGAGGGGTCAGCGGATGCTGAAGCGCATAGTGCAAAGAGGTC